CCCTGCATATGAATTTCCTCCACCCTTTGTTCCTAAAAATGAGGTTAGTGATTTATTAACTTTTCTGATGTATTAATCAAATTTGTTTCTCGTAGCTTGCGATTGTAACTAGATAATCCTTTATCATTTACTTTAGATATATTGATAATACATTATTAACTTGGAAATTTGTTTTTTTAGTATATATAAACTTCCAAGAGTTTTATTATGTATTAATTTCTAATTTCTTTTTCATTATTTATCACTATACTCTTTTTTTTCTTTTCTTTTATTATGTATTATGAAATCAGATGCTCATTTATAATTTACTTTAGATAGATTAATTAAACATTAACTTGTAAATGTGTTTTTAGCATATATTAACTTTGTGGAGTTTTATTATATATTAATTTCTATGAGGTTACCTTCCTTTTATATTATTCATCACTATACTCCAATTTATTTGATTATATATTATGAAAAAATGAGGGTTTTACTTGTATATTTTGAATGTTCAAACATTACATTTGGGAATGATGATTAAAAGTTGCAAATTATTTGTAGATTTTTATTTACTATTTGACCGGCATTCTTTGGTGCAGATTACTTTATTATTACATATCTATTGGAAGTCGTCTGTTATGATAAATAGCTGCTAATCATTCATACGTATTATTAAGTTTATATAATTATAAGTGTAACTATTTAAACCATATCTTTAAAATATATAAAAATTGTGAGACAGTCAGTATAATTCATTGTTCATATTGCTATATATTTCTGCTTTTTGTTCCATATGCTTTTGGAGTTTAGTTACTGAACAATTGAATTTTTAATTTCAGAATTAGGTCTACTTTCTTATGCATATGTTTGACTTTTTATGATTCATTTTTATTTTCTTTCTCGGGTAAATGACTATTTTAGGTTTTCATTGTATGATAAATTAAAGATATACAGTGCAGTAAATAACAAGGCAACCTACATCTTATTTTCCTTCTTATACAAAATTTGTACTGATTTTTTGTGATGAGTTTAAGCTTCATGAATATTTTATTTCTACAGCGGCCTCATCACCCAGACTACAACAATGACCTGCAGCTATTTCTTGTAAGGACGGTGACCCTTATACGAGCAAAAGTATCCGATGCTGTGAGTATTATAATCATCCTTCTTTGAATTAAATTGAAAAAATAATTTCAGGTGTATGTGAAATTAGTTTGCCTATATTTTGTATTGCTATGTAACTGTAGGGTTTGTAGTACTATGTAACTGTAGTGTTTGTAGTACTATGTAACTGTAGGGTTGTGTGTTATGGAGAATTTACATCTCGAAAAGGCTGTGGAAGTTTTCACTTTTATTGTGAATGTTTTCTCTTTTTTTATCTCTCTTTTAGCAACTTGGCTTCAACAGTATGAAATAGGCTTTTTCCTATAAAATTATACCAATTATTCCCTCACCATCCACATCATGGCCTCATCAGTTTGGCTTAGTTTTTTTCACTATGAAACTTGATATTATATCTCCCTATCATCAACATGCTATCTGCAGTTTTACTTAGTCGTTGTAATGTAAGACTTGACTGTTTCTTGTGTCATTTTCGACAGCTTGGCTTCAACATTCGAGGTGGGAAGGAACATTTTTGTGGCATTTTCCTCTCCAAAGTGATGCCTAATACAGAAGCAGAGAGACTAGGGTTGCGAGAAGCGGACCAGATTATTTCTGTGAATGGAACAAATTTCGAGGATATTGAGCATGCCAAAGCTGTACAAATTCTCAAGTCCAACACAGAGATAGTTATGCAGCTGCGGTACTTTCCATATGGCTACAAAAAGACATATGAGAAAGTTCAAAATGCTAACATGGGTAGAGCTTCCAGTTGACAAAGTACTCCCTTTGCAAATGATATAGATAACATTTCATAGATTTAAAAAAAAATAATGATGATAGATAAATGTAAGTGACAGCTGCTCAACAGATATAATCAAGAAGACCATTAAAAAAACAAACTAAAAACAGGATTAAAATGGCATTTTGATTTTGGATTTACTCATAATCTTGTTCATTATATTTTTATATATTTTTAGAAATGTTTAATTACTTTAATTACCAATGAAAGATCAAAAATGCATTAAAAGTACCTGAAATTGCTTTTTTACTTTTGTTACAAGGGACTAATTTTTGTTAGCAATAGGCCCCCAAAAAGATATATGTATGTCCATGGTTTTCTGTTAAGTCTATTTTTAGTGAATTGCCATTAAGTGTTGACTCAGAGTAAAACCTTTCCAGCACAAATCATTTTTTACACTTGTATTGAAAAAAATTTATAAAAGTACATGAAAAGGTTATATATATTCTGTCCTACTAAATCTAATTTTGAAAGCAAGTAGAGCCCTGCATATATATTATGATAGATATTTTTTGTTTTGATTTCCTATATTGTATAGTTTAATCTAATAATGTGTAGCTAAAACAATGAAGAAAAAAGGGGTATATATATGTATATATATATAATATATATATATATATATATATATTATAATATTATATATATATATATATATATATATATTTATTTATTTATTTATTTATTTATTTATTTATTTATTTACTTATACTGTAATTGGTAAAAATCTGTAAATTTCATACAACACATATATGCATATATATATTTGATTTCAACAATTCAGACTTTGATAAAATGTAATAACTGAAGTATAAATGATATGATATCAAACAGTGATGAAAGGAATCCTAAAGAAAGCTTTAATAGCATGCTGAGTAACATATAGAATGTGAGAGTATAATTGTAATTGTTTAAAAACATAGAAGCAAGTATGAAAGTGCAAAAACCCACCCAAGAATAGACTAAAGAGCAACAACTAAAGCCAGAGTAACATGTGCAGTTAGAAGGAAGAAAACAGTCACAATAAAAAAGAAAAAGAAATATGTGTTGAGGCGGACTCAGTAACATCACCAAATAGTAATATCATTATGGGTTTATCCCATATAAGAGATAGAGTTTGGCTTCAAACATTAAGATTTGTCAATCTTTTCTGAGTGTGGCTGTGTTTCATGTCATTCTGTTGTAACTAAACTGAAATTTTTCATGTCATTTCTCAGAAGTTAGGCATATTGAGAATTCGGAAAAAAGAAGGAAAATTTTCTGATATTATATATCTATATATATATATCTATTTATTATCTATCTATCTATCTATTATATATTATCTATCTATCTATCTATCTATCTATCTATCTATCTATCTATCTATCTATCTATATATATATCTATATATCTATCTATATATATATATATATATATATATATATATATATATATATATATATATAATAAAGAACTGTTTTTGGCCATGTATGTGATGGAGAAACTTCTGAAATATATATATCATTTGAAAAAAAAAGTGAATTCTTAGATAATTTTTAGAACATTAACTTGCACTTTATAGTAAATAGATTTTATTTTATTTTATTTTTATCAGAAACACTATGATAAGTGGAATTGATTTTTAAGACCAGTGACTTACATGCTTCAGGATAAGTAGATATGATATTTTAATCATGATAATGAAATCATGCATTAGTCAACCTCTCTGCTTTTATCATCTTTATCATCTTATCATTTCTACTTTTGCTTTACTATTACCAGGAAAATACACAAAATCTTGTAGATCATGTAGGTATTCGTAGAGAAGACACACTGATACCTTGAGTTGTAGATAATTTATGTTGATTCGGATTTTCTCTTCTTCTCTCTCTCTCTTCTCTCTCTCTCTCTCTCTCTCTCTCTCTCTCTCTCTCTCTCTCTCTCTCTCTCTCTCTCTCTCTCCTTCTTCTCTTCTCTCTCCTCTCTCTCTCTCTCTCTCTCCTCTTCTCTGTCTCTCTCTCTCTCTCTCTCTCTCTCTCTCTCTCATCTCTCTCTCCTGCTCTCTCTCTCTCTCTCTCTGTCTCTCCTCTCTCTTATCTCTCTCTCTCTCCCTCCCCTCCTCTCGCTCCTCCCTCTCCTCTTCTCCTCTCTCCTCTGCCCTTCTCCTCTCTCTCCCTCTCCTCTCCCTCTCTCACTCTCCTCTCTCTCTCTCCTGCCTCTCTCTCTCTCTCTTTCTCTCTCTTCTCTCGTCTCATCTTTTAAGACCTGCAACAGAAGCACCGTTTTTAGGATCGCCGAACCCTGTTATCTTTATATTCATCATTGATATTATTCATTACATTGCAAACCATCATAAGTCTATTTTGCATTTTCGAAAAAGAAAATCTTAACCATTATTACACAATTTCCCGAAAATGCATTATTTACTTATTCAAGTCAGATTTCACCATGTGTTTTCTTTATTTAATTTTTTTGATCTATATATTTGGAACTGGAAACACACTACTGAATTAAAAATAATTACCCTGTAAATTGAAAATAGCTACTATAATCCATGCCCTGAAAAGATTTTAGTAAAAACGTTTATCTAAAATATACTGTAATTTAGTGCGTTATTTGATGTCGTAATATTATTATCAATAAAAAGACGAAATTTTCATGTAAATACTTTCTCATGTGAATGTAAGATGGTAGAACTGTTACATTTCACCTTTTAATGGGTAAGCTTGTAAATTAGAGAAGAATACGAGCAAAACACTGCACACACACAACCAGGATCACAGCTGCAACCCTCAGGAATTAAACATTCACAGACTGGTCCGAGGGGCATTTGATTTCATAATTAATATTATTTTTGCTCTCATCAATACCATCATTAGGAGCTAATACCGACGGAGGCGCATAGCCGCATCCACCCCTTGTTTCCACCTACGAGGGTCACTCATGACAAGCAGCCAGGCAGGGACTCGGCCTATCTCAAGGTCCTCTCGACAAGTTTTATCAACCTGCCTTAGCCACGAATTCCTAGGTCGTTCCACAGGACTCGTCCACCCAGGACTGTCTCTTACAGAGACAACCTGGTTGTTGCTGTTGTTGCTATTATTATTTTCAGTCTGCCAGTGCGCTTATTATTGCAGTTTACCTAACACACAATGAATGTGTTAACTTGTCTCTTACGGCTAATCACTTCATCAGCTCGAGCTGGGTGCTATGTAAAGGTACAAGAACACCACTGTTAAGTATAGCAATTTGAAATTCAGATCAGTCACTAAAAAAACATGGAATACCCAAATATATTCTTTTCATTTAAATCTGTTAAAACACTGAGGCAAATGAGTTTAATCATGGTCTTTGAAAGAAGTATAATCACGGACAAACTCTTGTTGAACCTGTTTCGAACCTCCACTTAATACCACTTTTTGTATACGGTATGACCGATTCGAAGCTTCAATTTATGACATCACTTTTGTCCGTCAATGTACAAGCCAAAATTATTTACTGCATTACACAGGGCGTCAGCTGGCGTCACTCCTGCCCTATGTTAAATCCCATTGTGCTGAACTACCCACGTGCGGCTAAACTACCTACGTGAGGTATTTTCACGATGAGGATTCATATGTTCGTTTATCAGGGATTATGAATATAAACAAAGGGTAATAAAGATAACAATGTATATATATTTAAGTTACAAATAACATATATAGTAGCAGATTGCATGTTCGTCCACTGACATTTAGAATTATGGAATGAAACAAAGGATAATACATATAATAGTGTATATATAAGTAATAGGTAACAGTATGTATAAAGCTAGAGTCACACTAGTCTTCTCTGCCTTCGGATCCTTAGACAGAGTCGCCGAAGTCAGGTTAGCTGAGCAACCAAAAGCTGTAGCCTCTCAGACTTCGGCGAGGCTGTCTAGGTATCCCTGGTCAGAGGAGACTAGTGTGACCCTAGCTTAAGGTAACAAAGTGCATGCAGATGGATTCAGAGCAATATAACACAAGGTGATCTTACTCAAACCACATCAGCAGTATTGCCTCTCCCGGTGTATCACTATGGCAAGTATGCCCTTCATGTTTTTCCCATTACGAACAATATCAATATAATGGAGTGATGTGGTGTATGTATTGTGTGTGTGTGTGTGTGTGTGTGTGTGTGTGTGTGTGTGTGTGTGTGTGTGTGTGGTGTGTGTTGTGTGTGTGTGTGTGTGTGTGTGGTGTGTGTGTTGTGTGTGTTGTGTGCTTGTGTGTGAGAGAGAGAGAGAGAGAGAGAGAGAGAGAGAGAGAGAGAGAGCGAGAGAGAGAGAGAGAGAGAGAGAGGAGGGAGAGAGAGAGCGAGAGAGAGAGAGAGATTATAAGCACTTTTTAAAAATAACAGCTCTCCTGCTTGAACGTTTATCATTACAACATATCACAACATGAGTCTAGGTTACAAATGGCACATTTCTTTAATACATAATACAGTGCAAACGAGAGAGAAAAACACTCAACGGATTCAAAACACACCAAGAAAATAGAAAATTCATATTGTAATATGTGGTCCCCAAATAACTAGATAGCGAGCTGGTGTGAAATTCACTCTGGATCTTTAAGAAAAAAAATAATCGAAACGCAAGTAAATTATGTACAGCCGTGTCAAAATTCTTGCCTGACGTTTCGAATGCTTAATTCTGAACGTGGCTTTGGTCCGCGACTGTGCATCAAACGTGTACATGTATGCGCGACTTCAAAAAAGAAAGCACTCATAAACACATCAATAAACTTGGTAATACAACAGTTGTGAAGTAAAGCGAAAGCAAGGAAAAAGAACCGTATAACATAAGAGCAAACGCCACAGAGAAACACGCATCCGAAATGTAAACAAACTCAATATGTGTAAGTCTCCTTAAACCTCCTCAGGACATGTTCTCTCGCTGTGACTATGGGATACGTGGAGGAAGTGTCCAGGGGCTTGATGAGAACAGGGTCGTCTGGGTGAACGAAGAACACCACGGAACGCCGCGATGCCTTCATGCGTTTCTCTTCCTTTGGGATCAACACTCGGTGTTCCTTTGCCAGGGAGAAAAGGAGGGAAAAAGAGAAAAGTTATTTATTCTCTCTGTGACCGGGTGTCTGTTTTCGAAATGTAATTGGTACTAGAGTGGGTTTTGCATTGTTTTTTTTTTTTTTTTTGTATTTATTCATTTACTTCAATTTACTTACAGTGGCAATGAATTTGTCTGTAGTCCAGAACTGAAGGATATCTCCCACGTTAACGAGTATGGCGCCGGGGACTGGGTCGGCATTGACCCACTGATTCTGGCGATCGCGAACCTAAACATTTTTAAAATTAATTTATCGTTGGTAATAAATACTACATATTTAAAAAAATATATACATATACTTTCTGACACAAAATATCCAAAATGAACTAATTACCAATGTAGCTAGATAACAGCCGAAACATGTTTCGACATTAAGCAGCAAAACAAAAACCCAGCACCCTCTCTTTTTCCCCTTCCTTAGATACATCCAAAACTATCATTTATCCTAAAATACCCTCTACTAATCTTTCAACACTGCCCCCTGAAAGAAAAATTACCTGCAGTCCCCCAATATCATCCTGGAAAAGAAGTGTTATAGTCCCGTAGTCCGTGTGGGCTCCGCAGCGGATGGCCTCAGCTGGGACGTCCTCTGGCACGGGCGGGTAGTGTAGCAGGCGCATGCAGGAGGCGTTGTTGTCCGAGCAGATCTCCTGGTGCGTGTCCACGAAGAACGACTCGTCCAGGTCTGCGCGCAAGTTGTAGATGTTGGATTTATGGTTTAAAAGAGGGAAGTAAATCACTTGAGTCAGATTTAAGGTGGAATTACATAAATGCTTGTGGAGATGTTGCAAAATATTGCAGGAAAGAAAGAAAACGAGAGAGAGAGCGGAGGGGAAAGGGAGAAAGAAAACGAGAGAGGGGAGGAAGAGGTAGGGAGACTGACAGAGGCAGGGTGGGGAAGAGGGTGAGGGGGGGAGGGAGTGAGGAGAAGAGAGAGAGAGAGAGAGAGAGAGAAAGGGGGAAAGAGGGAGGGTGAGAAAGAGAGAGAAAAGCAGAGATGCTCCAAGCGAAAGAAAAAGATTTAAAAAATCAATAAAAAGAAACGAAACAACACAACCCCAATCCCGACCTATTCCCAGCGCCATGGCCTTCAGGATCCGCAGCGACAAGGCCTTGCAGGTGTTAATGAACGCATCGGCATCTCGGCGGAGGGCGGGGACTTCTCCATCCGGGAACTCGCCGTCGCTGCGTTTAATATCATACGCCTCCCTCAGTTCGTGCTTGAAGTTCGCGGGGTCAAATCTGTTGAGAGATGTCGCTTTAGATCCCGGATTGAGACATTTCGAGGTTTTACTTTAGAATTTTGGTTGAATAGAGTTCACTTTTAGTTCGGTTATTGTTTTTCACTTTATTTTGGTTTCCGATTCATATTTTACTTGTATGGATATAAAAAAAACATTTTAGACTTTGGTTTCAGTTCAAGATTTCACATTAGACTTTGGTTTCAGCAAAAGAAATAATTTCTGACTTTGCTTTAGGTCAGAGATTTCGCTAGACTTCATGACTCTCGCTCTCTCTCTCCCTCTCCCCCTTTCTATCTCTCCCTCTCCCCCTCTCCCACCCTCTCTCTCCCCCTTCCATCCCTCCTTCCTCTCTCCCTCCTTTCTCCCTTCCCCCTCTCCGCCCTTCCCCTCCCTCCCTCTCCCTTTCCCTCCCTCCCTCTCCCTCTTACTTTTCTCTATCCACCTCCACGTATCCTTGCTGCTTCTCCGGATTCCTCGGGTACTTGTTCTTCGTCTTCAGGTCGAGGTCGAAGAACCGGCCTCCTGAAGCCACGAGAGAAGAAACCTGAAGAAAAAAAAAATAAAAATAAAGTAAAATGAGGGGGTAACTAATTTATTTGATTTTTCTTGGCATTTTTTTCTTGGCCTCATCAATCTTTATGAATAAGAACTGACCTCCGACCTCCTAAAAGAGGAAGTGTTTTTTCTTGACCTCTCAATTTTTTTCTTGACCTCTTCATTTTTTTTTCTTTGCCTCATAAAAAGTATCATTGGCCTCTTGTGTCTTTTTTTGGTCTCAATAGTTTTCTCTTGGTCTCTTATTTTTTTTCTTGGCCTCTTTAAAAATATTAATGACCTATTAATGTCTTTTTCTTGGTCTCTTAATATTTTTTTCTTGACCTCATCAACCTTTACGTATAAAGTATCTTCATTCCAACTTATGGTATTTATATACTTTATTGCTATATAAAGTAAATATACGCGACATGTTTGGAATGAAAATAGTCCAAACTTATACAATTCGTGAATATAAATAAAATGATTCATTTATCTACCACTTTTGCCATGACACTGGACATACACTGGCACGTAGCTGTCCATGACTGAGCATTAACGTCCATTTCTGACGATAAAACGCGAGTAAGCTAAGGTTTGGTCTGGTTTGCTTCGCCTTGACGTCGAAAAAACAAATGTGAGCAAGTTGGTTCAAGTTTTTTTTTCGAGAAATCTTGAAATATGTCGTCAAAAATGCGTCTTTGGTGTTTGTATATGTTTGTGCTACGATGGTTATCTAGATCAAAATACATCGTCTATAAACGTTTATAAACCTACAGAAAGTTATATTATATTACCTTCTCCTAATCAAACCTTACCTATGACTATTAGATCTACCTATTACCTATTACTAGTCAGATCTTACCTCATCTACTAATAAGTAATTCACACTTGCTGACATCTAAACCTCAAATGTTGAGAATTAAGCATCACTTATTGATAATGAAACCTTTCCCAACTTACAGTTCAACCTAACTTAGCAACATCTACGTTTCCCTTACTGAAATAAACCTCACCTACTATTCAAACCGTAAGTACAAGTAATTATAACTTACCCATTTCCAACTAAACCTCACTGACTGACAACTAAACCTCACTACTTAAACCTTATCTACTAGTACCTAACCCTTACCCACTGTCAACTAAACCTGAAATTAAACCCCATCAGCAGATAGTCAGCCCTTTCCAACTGACAGCTAAACCTCATTGCTATCTAAACCTCACCCCCTGACAACTAAACCCGTGTCTAATGACAGTCAGACCTCTCTTCCAAACTAAACTCACCGATCGACAACTAAAACCGATCGACAACTAAAACCGATCGACAACCTAAACTAAACCTCACCGATCGATACTAAACCTATCGACAACTAAACCTCACCGGTCGACAACTAAACCTCACGATCGACAACTAAAACCTCACCGATCGACAACTAAACCTCACCGATCGACAACTCCTCAATCGACAACTAACCTCACGACAACTAAACCTCACCGATCGACAACTAAACCTCACCGATCGACAACTAAACTCACCGATCGACAACTAAACCTCACGAACAACTAAACCTCACGAACGACAACTAAATCTCACCGATCGACCTCACCGAACGAACGATCGACAACTCTCACCGATCGACAACTAAACCTCACCGATCGACTGCGACAACTAAAACCTCACCGATCGACAACTAAACCTCACCGATCGACAAACTAAACCTCACGATCGACAACTAAACCTCACCGATCGACAACTAAACCTCACCGATCGACAACTAAACCTCACCGATCGACAACTAAACCTCACCGATCGACAACTAAACCTCACCGAACGACAACTAAACCTCACCGATCGACAACTAAACCTCGACAACTAAACCTCACCGATCGACAACTAAACCTCACGACGCGATCGACAACTCACCGATCGACCAACGATAAACCTCACCGATCGACAACTAAACCTCACCGATCGACAACTAAACCACACGATCGACAACTAAACCTCACGATCGACAACTAAACCTCACCGATCGACAACTAAACCTCACCGATCGACAACTAAACCTCACCGATCGACAATAAACCTCACCGATCGACAACTAAACCTCACCGATCGACAACTAACCTCACCGATCGACAACTAAAACCACCGATCTAAACCTCACCGATCGACAACTCACCGATTCGATCAACTAAACCTCACCGATCGACAACTCAACCGATCGACAACTAAACTCACCGATCGACAACTAAACCATACCGATCGACAACTAAACCTCACCGATCGACAACTAAACCTCACCGATCGACAACTAAACCTCACCGCACCGATCGACAACTAAACCTCACCGATCGACAACTAAACCTCACTCGACAACTCGATCGACAACTAAACCTCACCGATCGACGATCGCTCGACAATCGACAACTAAACCTCACCGGTCGACAACTAAACCTCACCGATCGACAACTAACCTCACCGATCGACAACTAAACTCATCAATCGACAACTAAACCTCACCTCGACACTAAACCTCACGATCGACAACTAAACCTCACCGATCGACAACTAACCTCACCGATCGACCTCACCGATCGACAACTAAACCTCACCGATCGACAACTAAACCTCACGATCGACCGATCGACAACTAAACCTCACCGATCGACAACTAAACCTCACCGATCGACAACTAAACCTCACCGATCGACAACTAAACCTCACCGATCGACAACTAAAACCTCACGATCGGCCTCACCGATCGACAACTAAACCTCACCGATCGGCAACTAAACCTCACCTCTAAACTGATCGACAACTAAACCTCACCGATCGACAACTAAACCTATCGACAACTAAACCTCACGATCGACAACTAAACCTCACCGATCGACAACTAAACCTCACCGATCGACAACTTAACCTCACCGATCGACAACTAAACCTCTTCTGTTGAAAAATGAACCCCATTTATCGAACATTAAGCCTGGCCTAATACCAACCAACCCTCACAGACTGACAACAAAACTTCATCTACTGAAATCTCAACCTCATCAACCGGTAATTAAACCCTACCAACCCGAAAACTAAACCCCACCTCCTTATATCTCAAACTCACCCACTGAAGACTAAACCTCGATAACGAAACCTCACTTACCGGCGATTAAACCTCACTTTCTATCTTCTCAGCCTCGACTATCGATAACCCCAACCTCCCCTACTTAAATCTTAAAACCTCAACCTTAATGACAACGAAACCTCACCTACTCACACATCCCCCCCCCCCCCCCGAAAAAAATTACACCTCACTAACGAAACCAAACCTACAGACCTACAGACCTTAACCTAAGCATCACCTACTGACAACCTCCCCTTCCCTACTTACAACCTCAACCTCCCGACACACCAAACCTCACCTGGGTTTCGGGAACGCCGTGGTTCTTGAGGTAAACAAAGCCGATGTTCTGGAAGGCTTCGGCGACGGACTTCCCTACGCGAAGCCACTCGTCACGGCTTGGTTCGGACGCGTGAGCCAAGCCTGCGAACGAAGAGCAAAAAGCCGTTGAAAGAATATTCAAAAAAATTATCATCATTATCAATACTGTTGCTGTTATCATTCTATATTACTCTCTCTCTCTCTCTATCTATCTATCTATCTATTATCTATATCTATCTATCTACGTTTTTTTTTTTTTTTTTTTTTTTTTTTTTTTTAACTCCCAACATGAGATCTTCACGCTGGTCCCGAGTAAGGAATCTGGGTCGCCA